TAAACGTAAAACAGGTAATTGACCATATTCATCGTATCCAGCTGAAGTCATAGAAAATGCATTATTTGATATCTCAAAGAAAAGAATTTGAATTTTCAAGGCATTAAAGTTATATGGTATACCATGTGGTACTATGTACAACAGAAGTTAACTGAGATATATAAAAAATAACTGGAAGACAGACCAGACTACAGCCATATACTGAAGAAAAGATCATATAACTTCTTAGTATCCTGACAGATTGGAAAATACTTTTGAACGGTATGGATATACGTCTGCTAGTGAAAAACTATATAGACAAAACAGGTGTCGTTGATTTAAAACTTAAAAACAACTTGCCTGGCACTGATTATGGGAAATCTTTCATTGTTTGCAATCTGACTTCTCGAATTGCTGATAATGTAAAATCAGCATGAGCTGAAATTGATCGAAATTCAGTCTGTTTATTTTAGTAAGTTAATCATTGCGCTACAAAACATTCTAATTACTTTTATATTTAACTATGGTAAGAGAAATATGAGATGTAACTCAGGCTCTAATACAATAACTTGTAAGCGTGGCCTTAATTGTGTAAAAAAAAATGAAGCATTCTAAAGGAGCGGATAGTATAATGCACTGTGGAAGTGCAGCTGGTCAGTTTCTTTCTCCCATGGTTATTTACAAAGCCACAAGCTGTTACAAAGAGTGGACATGTGGAGGCCCATCTAGAAGTATATTATACAGTTCAAAATCTGGTTGGTTTGTTCCTAGAACATTTGATTGTTGGTTCACAGAAATATTTATTCCTGAAACAGAACGTCTTACAGGAACAAAGGTTGTTATCATAGATAATTTAGCTTCATATTTTTCACCGAATTTCATCAAAGTATGCTCTTCAAATAATATCCACTTTACATATTTAATCCCAAATTCCACACATCTGTTGCAACCGCTTGATATTGCGGTTTTCAGATTGTTGAAAGTTGAGTGGAAGAAGATTTTAAAAACATGGTGAAGAGAATCAAGAATCAAGGGTTTAATTCCAAAAAACCATTTTCCAACATTCTTGACAAAGTTGCAGAATACTCTGAAAGCAGAGAACTTTACAGCCGGATTCAAGGCTTCAGGCATACATCCATTGAATTAAGAAAAAGTATTAAAACGGCTTCCGTATGTCAACAAAGAAAATGGCGGTGAAACCGTAAAAGAAATATTCCATAGAGGTGTAATAGATATTCTTAAGAAGTACTGTGACAACGATGCAGCAGGAAAAACCAAGAGAAAAAAAGCCAAAAAAAAATCACACCAGGCAAATTAATCACAGTAGATGACATTAATGATGGACAAATATCAAAACAGAAAAAATGGTAGTTCCCCAAATGAAAGTAATGGCAAGACAGATGTTTATTAAAACGAGTCTGATCAAGCTGAACATGAAGTAAACAATTTTCCAACAACAGGGAGTTGGCATGACGTAGTCTACCAAGAAAAAAACTAAGACAGTAATGTTCTATCTGCTGATAGCACATCTGCAAACTGTAGCTGATATCTATTATTTGCCTTCGGTGGTTGAAGATCTTGAGTCCAATGGACAGATTGATGAGGTTTTTTCAAGACCCAAAATACTTAATATGAAGTACCTAAAGAAAGTTAAAGGAACCAAATATCTGTTTAAATTCCAATTGCAGAATTTGCTTCTCTACTATTCTCAAACATATTGCAACATCTTCAACTACCGAAGACAAATAATAGGAATCAGCTTCAGTTTTCAGATGTGCTATCAGCAGATAGAACATTACTGTCTAGTATTTCAAACACTGGTTTTTTTATTATATATATTATAATGAATTATATTGCTATGTTTACCATATTAACAATAAATTGTTGTTGTTTTTTTGTCCATTATGTGGATATTTTCGAAAGCCAAACTTCTTTACTAAATTGATAATTTTACCAGTAAAATGTTATAAACATGCTTGTATATTGTGTCCTGATTTAGTAAAACTTCAAAAAAAAGTATTGATAACACTTCTGAAAAGGGTTAAATAAATAAGTCATAAGGAATTAATAGATTATCAAAGTCAAAAAAGTTTTTTTGAAAAAAGGCTCAAAAATCTATAAAAGTCATCGTTTTACGGTAATAGAAAATGATAATGTATTATAGTATATATATATATATATATATATATATATATATATATATATATATATATATATATATATATATATATATATATATATATATATATATATATATATATATATATATATATATATATATATATATATATATATATATATATATATATATGTAATATAGTAGCTTCTGATAAAAATTCAACTTCTTTTTAAACTGATTGTTCCATTCAATATTGAAAATGTAGTCTGAAAGCTTGTTAGGACGTGATACGTTTTGGTTGGTAAAAAAAACAGTGCCTTTGATGATAGTTTGTAACTATTTCTTTTCTCCGTTTCGATGATTTGCTCTCGGTTAGCATTACAGAGAGTCTGCACATAGTTCTACTTAAAATGATATACTTAAAATATCTAAAATTAGCAAACGAGGGAGATTCTTGGAATAATACATTGGACATAATTTTGAAAAATTTTGTTTTCTAAAAAATAAAAAATAGGACCTCAAAACTAAAAATCTGTCAACTAAAATGTGTCAAATGGCAACTAGCTGGCTGAATTCATTTAAAAAATTAACTATAAGTTGAAATAGTCTCATTTATGACGCACCCCGCACACCCCTTTAAAATTGCGTTTGGGGGAAAATAGATTTTCAAAGCATTTTGTATATAGAAGTCACAACAAACCTCAAACTAGTGCAGATAAAGGCTTTCAAAACAAAACAAAAAAAGAAACCTGTATAATACAAAACCCAAAATCTTTTTTATTGTTGTTATTGTTTGTCTATACGTATTCGTTTAATTAAAGGTAGAAGAACGAATAGCACTCAAGTAGCGATTAAACACTTCATTGCAGCACTCCGAGTGTTTTTTGATTTTTAAGATAAAGGCATTGTAGTGTACATACTCTAATTGATTTATTTAGTAGTCAGTTAATTTTACATCATTATTATTTATTGGATATCCATTTGAATAAATCAGTTCGTATTCTTTATATCTATAATTCAGCGAGATAAGAAAAGATGAAATCAATTAGCTATGTCTCTTTTCATTGGAGGTTCAGCCTTTCTCGCTAAAATTTTAAAGCTTTTAAAACTTAAGGTTTGAACCTCTAAATTTGAACAAACAATCGTTTTAATCAACTTGCACATCTCTAGTTTTTTTGTACTTCAAGGACACTTGAACAAGATGTTTATTCGGCTTTTCAAGTGTTTAACAAAAGTAAATTAATACTGAAAGGCTAACGCCTTTATACTGAGAAGATAACGCCTTAACTAAATTAAATTTAAAATGATGTCAAAAAATTAAATATAAGCAGTCAAAACGTAACTAGTAGCAAATAGTAATAACTACTTTTTTGCCTTGAAATTAACTTCAAATTAAATATTAGTGATTCTTTATCATCTTTTTTCAAAAGCAAAAATATAAGCAATTATATTAATAAAGTAATGAACTTTATTATGCTTAATAAACAATTTTGTTATAACTTTAGTCTAAAAATTTAGTCTAAAAATAACTTTTGTACACGTTTATTGACACACGACACACATCAGTTTAGTAAACACATTAGTTCATTAGATATAACTTGTAAATTTAATACTCATAAATTAAGGCCCAAGAAACTTAAAATTATATGGACAAATTTAGTTAAATAATTTACTACTATTAAAAATATGGATCTATTTTTAAATAACCATTAATGCGATCCAACTCAAATAATATTTATACAAATACTAAAGCAACTTCAAAACAGTATGGTTGTAATTAATCATGCCTTCTTATTTGACAACAATAGTATCTAAACCTATATGCTTTTTGACTTAACATTTAAATAAACAATAATAATTAAACAAACTTATTATTTTTGCTATCGGTATCTGAGCTACGTTTTAAAACGTTATTTTGTTAATCGTAATGGTTTTCTTGTGCACCAAAACTAGACATTATTGATTTAATTGTTAAATCAAATTCCAATAAACATTTAAATAAAACACTTTTAATAACTTTTAATAAACGAAACTTTTTTTGAGCTGTAAATTCTTTTTATAGTTTCAAAACTAATATATTTACATATTTTTATTCATTTACCCAACTTTCTTCAATAAAAGTTGATTCTGGACAAACTTGACCATTTTACTTTTTCAATGGGCAACAATACTGAGGGCAATATGGTACACACTGTGTTGGACAGATTGGTGGGCATGGTGGTGGTGGTGGTGCAGGTTGTCCTGGCATTCCTCCTTGTCCTGGATAACCTGGTGGTCCTGGAGGTCCTGGGGGTCCTGGTGGTCCCATTGGTCCTGGAAATCCTGGAGGTCCTGGACGTCCTGGTGGTCCTGGGTTTCCTGGAATTGCAACTGGTGGTGGTGGTGGAGGTGGTGGTGGTGGTGGTGGTGGTGGAGGTGGTGGTGGAGGTGGTGGAGGAGGAGCGCAGCAAATTGGAGTACATGCTGGGGCACAGATAGCAGGACAATTATAACCACATGCTTGTGCACTTCTCTTTGATAAAGTTTCTAAAAAATAAAATATCTAAAAGTTCATTGCATGCTCAACGCTATAAAAGTGTTCATAACACCATTATAATTAATGATACCTTTTAATGTCGTGCATGAAAATAATATAGACTGTGACTGACAAAAAGTTCAACTACCTACTTTGAAATCTAAGTATTCTAAAAGACTTAAACTGTAATAAACTGCACATTTAAACTAATAGATAAGTCAGTGTGTTTAAAATAAATAACAATATTATGAATGAACTCATTATATTTCTTGTTTTATTTACATCCATTTATCGTTTTCATTTTGATTAAAGTGGATTGAAGAACATTGCTGCATTATATGAGATATCTTTTCACTTAATAAACAAGTGTCAAAGATGTTTGGTACTTTACTTCCTCTTTGCTGGGCAACAGTATTGTGGACAAGTTGGAATGCATTGAACAGGACAAATTGGAGGACATGGAGGTGGTGGAGGGGCAGGTTGGCCAGGTAAACCCCCTTGTCCTGGGTTTCCTGGTGGTCCTGGTGGTCCTGGAGGTCCTGGTGGTCCCATTGGTCCTGGGCCTCCTGGAGGTCCTGGTCGTCCTGGAGGTCCTGGATTTCCTGGGAGTGGAAGTGGTGGTGGAGGTGGTGGTGGTGGTGGTGGAGGTGGTGGTGGTGGTGGTGGTGGTGGTGGTGGAGGTGGAGGTACACAGCAAATTGGTAAACAAGCTGGTGCACAAACAGCTGGGCAGTCACCACTGCAAGCCTGTGGGCTTCTCTTTCTTAAAGATTCTATAAAATAATAAGTTTATATTTACAATGTTGCCAATGCTTAAAAGCCATTCGAAATGCATGCCTGTTACGAATCTTGATTTTTTCATTCCAAGTATTGCAGATATTTATGAAGTTAATGGATGCATAGTTTAAGTTTACAAGTTTATATTTTAGGAATATGATTATAAAAATGAGTTTAACTAATGTTTGTTGAGTAATGGGTAATAAGTAATTGTGAAAACAGAAAAATGTTATTTTAACACGAGAAAAAAAAGAAAATGTGCTTTTATAATACTGATTTATTTACATATAGACAACAAAAATTTCTCCATATAAATCTGTAAAATATTCGTAATGGTCGCTGTGTTTCGTCAGTAGGTTCTAACGTCTACCAATTGGTGGGCAGCAGTTTATTGCACAATAAGCTGGGCATCCACTACTGCAAATAGGAGGGCAAGCTGGAGAGCCTTGTGGGCCTTGTGGGCCATTTGGACCTTGTGGTCCTGGAATACCAGGAGGGCCAGGAAGTCCAGGTGGCCCTTGTGGTCCTTGTGGTCCTGGTGGTCCTTCTGCCCCAGGTGGTCCTTGAATTATAAGTGCTGGTGGAGGTGGGGGTGGAGGTGGGGGTGCACAACATGTAGGTAAACAGGCTGGGAAACAAACTGCTGGGCAACCATATTCACAACTTTGTGGCGTCCTCTTTTTTGCCCTTTCTGTAAAAGAAGGATGAAAGATCCGTCAAGTCATATAAAGTTGTGTAAACGCTATTGTAGTAATGAGCAATGTTGTTTTCAGTAAAAATTTATATTTTTATGTGTTTGTTTTTCAGAAGCTGAAAGGTTTTGAGAACACCACAAGTTTAATAATCAAAACAAAACATAATTACCACAACTACAACAGCGTTCAAAACAGTAATATTACACAATACAACAAGTAACGGTTATTTTATGTTTGAATTACATTCTAAGTACAACTTGAATTACATTCTAAGTAATTCTATCTAACCACGACACTTCTACACAATTACTAAAGACTAAATTTTGTTGCGTAACAACAAATAAATTCTAATTGAGCAGCAAGTAAAGCAGCAGCCTTAATAATGACGTCGTAATTTTTTATTTTTTTAAATTTTTTTCGAAAATTGAAGTAACTACACGCAAACTCCAGTGGTTGTTAGACAAAGTTCTTTATGTGGCTCTAGGACTGGTGCTTTTTTTGCTGCAATATGCGCATACAAATATATGGTATAAAGAATCACAAAGTAAAAAAACTTACCATGCAGAGTTTTTGCGTTGGTAACAGCAACCAGGAGGAGGAAAGCTGCGATAGATCTCATCTGATGAGAAAATTAAAATAAATAAAAAGTTAAGCAAAGTTTTTCAAAATAGTTTTCAAAAAATTTTAAAACTATGAAAAGTTCATAAAACATTTAAACTAAAACAAAAACTATATCAATCTTAAATAATAAACTTTATATAATGAATGAAGTCCAAAGATAAAAAAAAAAAAAATATTTTTATAAGTATTAAACCAATTAGATTGTATAACTAAATAGTCATCACTCTTTTTAAATTAAAAACTTCATCTTTTATCTGATCTTTGTTTAACCAATAGCTTATTGCCTAATTATATTTATTAACTTCATTTTAAAAAGATTTAATAACTATGTTACTGTATACCTTTGTTATCTTTAGAGGCTTCTTTACTAATGAGCCTACAAAATAACTGACTTAAAATACTTTGAAAATCTTTGGTAATGTTGCGCTTGAACGCTTTTTGCCTATTTACAGCAGGTGCTGTGTTTAAAATTGAGCGTCCTTGGTTAACCAAGCGTGCGCTCTTGAGTCTAACTTAACCCTAACGTGCATTTTAGGCAGTTTCTATTGTTCAACTTTTAAATTATATTTGAGCACTAGAAACTGTTTCAAACACAAATAGCATGCACAAACAGAGCATGTGCAAACAGCATGCGCAAGCATGTGCATGAACAAGCTCTTTTTATTTAAGTCATAAACATTAGAACTAGGTTTTAGCTCAAGAGATGGAAAAACCAAGGGGGAAAGGAATGAAGGATTTAACTTTTGAACTTTTTTTTCAATTATTTTTTTAACGGCAGGGTGTGGGAGCGGGTTGGCATAAGAATGAGTTTAGACTATAAGACCTTAAAAGTTTTATAAATAGTTTCGTAACTTAAGTTTGCAATATACGTTAAAATTATTTATGAGTTTTAATAACATTTTACTTTATTTCAAAAATAAAAATACTTTTTAAATTTAATCTTACAAATTAAAGAAAAAAAAATTTTTTTTTTTCTTACCTTGAGTTCTTAGACTTCTCAGCGAATCTTGTTTTCGAATAGAATTTCAGCAATCATATACCCTTGGAAAGTTGTAACTCATTAATTATTCATGTGATTTTTTAGTTGCGTATTATTAAAGAAGCACAAATAAAGAGAACGCTTCGATGAGCGCGCTATTAAGCTCAATGCTTGCTTTGTTCTTGTGCAAAGGGATGCCCGAGGTTTGCGATCAAGACTACGCAAAACTTGTAAACTTCAAACAGTTTTACAAAGCAAAAATGTTTTTAACGAAGTTTGAAAGTCTGTTTTTTTCGCTTTGACGCTTCCTTACTCTAGGTTTGTTCAAAAGGTTTTGCGTCATAAAGTGTTTTTAGACGCTACAACGCTTTCTTGTAAATAATTGAACTCTTTCTTAGTTATGTAACTTTATCTGTGATTCTGATGCTTTTTGGACTTCGAGCAATAAAGACGTATAATTAAAATAATCTTGAAGGTTACTCCGACATTAATACCTCATTTAAACCCTAAGTTTAAAACATCATTATATAAATTAGAAGAGAGTTATTGAAAAGGTCGATTGATGGTGATTTATTTTGCTAAAGAAATCGAAACAAAATATTAGCATTATAACAAAAATAAAAAAATAGCTTTATAGACAAACAAAAATATTCAGTTTTGTCTTGATGCACCAAAGTGATGTAACGATTCCATCAAAAGGTTTTAAAATAATTTATTATAGATTTATATGAACCATTAAAGTCAATTGGTACATATCGTCGTATAAATTTTTATGGCTGCAAATAACCATGTAGATTTTCATTGGTCGTTATGCAATTAATTTGATACAGTGTTCGTTAAAAAGTTATTATTACAATAGTCTTTTTAAGTAATTTTTAATCAATGATATCAAATTTTTAATTATTACTATTGTAACATAATTTAAACTCAGAACCAAACCATATTCACGATTTCATAATATAATCTAAATAAAAAGGTCTCATGTTACAGTTTTACGAAACTGTGATCTTTGAGGAGGAGCAGATCTTTAAGGAGAGGCTGTGATCTATTGGAGAGTCTAAAGCATTTACTGTCATTTATCAAAAAAAATGTATTTAAAGTTTTAATTTATTTTTTAACGACTTGGCAAATGAAAATATATAATTCGAACATTTGTTGAAATTACACCAACATGGAGGATAATGGATATTTATCTTATTCTGCTAAAACTTGTTCTCTGAATAATTTAAAATATGCATAATTTATACTAAAACTTGCATAATTCATACTTGCACTAAATATAATTTGTAATTTTAATTTATTTTTGTTATATTTTTTCAACAAGTTTATTTTAAGCGATTGTATCTACAACCATTACATTCTTCTTTATTTAACCTTTTATTTATTTTACTTTCTAACTATTTTTTAATATACATAAATCTTTTTTTTGTTTTTATAATCTTTTTTTTTTTTTTCAATTTTTTTTTTTTTTCTTTTCTTTTTTTTTTTTACAAGTATAAGCAAAAAAATGTCTTTTTTTCATTCAGCTTTTTATAGCAGAATATCCCGAAGGTTTAAAATAACGCGTCTGATCTAGAAAATTTTAATATAGTTTGGTATCGTGGTTTATCTTTATCCAGCTAATTGTCATATAGAGGCAGCTTACCAAGATCTGCAGAGACAAGTTTAGCTTACTTAAAGCATCATAACCTGCTTCGAAAGGCCAAGAGTAAGTGAGTCAGAGGAAGAACAGAAGTAAATAAGAGTAGACGTTAAAACAAGAGGTGTTAAAAAGAGAAAAGCGGACAGACATTGATGTTAGAATGTGCAATTAGACTAATATTATTGTGTTAAACTTTAAAATGTGTAATTAATTGAGTCTAATTTTAATATAGTTTAAATACAGTATTGGCCATTATTAAAAATCCATCAAGTTATTTTAGTACGAATATAAGTTTGAATTTAAATATTTTATAAACTAAAAGTAATTTTTTTCTAAGTTTTTTTTTTTATTGAAATAAATCAAATAATCACAATATAAATTTATTGTAAAATAATAAAAATTGAAAAAATTAAAAAATAAAATTTTGAAATTTAAAACAAGTGTTCTTTAGTATCAAAAAAAAAAAATAAATCAACCACAAAAACAAAATTAGCAAATCTTAATAAAAAAATACTTAGAAAAAACTCACAAAAAATAGAATTAATATTTTATTGACAATCCTTTTGCTTTTAAGAATTCATTGATATCTTTTGGCATAAAGTTCACTAAATTCTGAGTATTCAGTAATTTTGTTACTAATTCTTTCAGCTAGTGCAGATCTTATATTTCAATTTTAGCAAAATTGTGGCTTAACCCAGACCACAAATTCTCTAGGTAATTGAGATCTGGAAAATTGGCCGGTCAAGATATGGTTTTAATATTGTTTTCTTCAAACTAATGCTTGAAAATCTTAGCAGTATGGAGCATTAACTTGATGGAAGATTCCTATCTCTTTTGGGAAAATGTCAATAGAAAGCATTAAATAGTCATCCCATATGTTTAAACATCTTCGATAATTGAGCCTTCCATCAAATAGTTTGAAACAACCAACACCTTCATAGTTTATGCAGACCCAGATGCCTATACTACCACAACTATGTTTTGTTCTATACCTAGAACAATTTGGGTCCATTTTATCATGTGACTTTCTTCTCAGCATAACTTGGTTTTTTCTTAAATCAACATCAAAGTTTATTTCATCTCTGAAAAGAACGTTGTGCTCATGCTCATAGACTAAATTTTATGAGCTAAACATCAAGTTTTTCTTGTTTTCTAATGTTTTAGTTGTAGATAAGGTTTTTTAAAAGCAGCTTGCCATATGTAATTGTGTTTTTTTAATAATCTTTTAATTGTTTGAGCACTAGCAACAATACCAAAAGCTTTTTGTCTTTTTTGACTGAGATCAGTAGATGATAAACATCTATTTTTTTTTTCACCATGCGAATAAGTGAACATTTATTTCTTTTAATTGAAATGCTGAGTCTTCCATGACATGGAAAATTTTAAATTGAATTTTATCTTTAATATCGGATGATTATTCTGCTAAAAGTGGCATGTGTTGTGTTGAAATGTTTTGCAGTTTCTCTCATTAAGATGTTTTCTTCATTCATTATTATGATTTTTCATTTTGTTATATTATCAATAATTTTTCCGGTCAATTTGGTGGTTTATTGCTGAATTATTGTAGTTAATTAGATAATGATTTTTCTATTTTATTTTAAGCAAATTTTTCAAATATTTATAATATATATAAATAAAAATTTTCAAATAGTTATAAATAGTTCGCAAATAAGTGCAAAGTTTTAATCAAAGACAAATAAAATTTTGAAGGAAGTGTGAAATAATAGAGTGGATTGTTAATTTTGACCATAATAACTATTTTAGATTATGAGATATATGTTAAAAAAAAAGCAATATAATTAGCACATCAAATGATATTTTTATGAAAATCTGTATTTATTTGAAAGAAAATAGAATGCTCATCAATATATATTTTTTATATTTAAGAAGAGTCAAACAATCATTGATTTAATATCAATCAAAGTCCAATTATATGAAAAAAACATGCTGGGTTGTTATTAATGGCTAATACTGTAGAGTTTGCATTAAAACATTTAATTAGGTTGCCTCATTTGCCCCAGTTTCCTCGTTCTTTAATCTTAGTGGTAAATTTTTTTCTTAAAATAGGCATATAAAAATTTTGATGATCATCAGCAAAATGTTTTAAATTTAGGATATTAGACAGTAAATTAATATAGTTATGCAAATAAATAAAAAATAAAAAAAGTACCCTGCCACTTGTAATGTTTTCTAAATGCTCGCAAAACTTGCATTTCAAACAATTGTTCGCAAAGCATTTCAAACAATTGCTCGCAAAGCATTTCAAACAAATGTTTGGATAGGATCAAGATCATAATTTTTATTTTTATGAAAAACAAAGTTATTATTTCTTACTTCATACTTTATAACTTTTTAAACTTAAATAGCATAGTGTTTAGCCATTTTAGAAGTATAGTGTGCGGCCGTGGCGCGTTGGTTAGAGCGCTTGCTTTATAAGCAGGAGATCAAGGTTCGAAACGAGCTTTGGACGTATATCCCTTCACGGTAAGCAAGGAGGCGTGAACGTACACTGAGATTTTAAATGGTAATGCGATTTTTACAAAGTTCAAATACCCAAAACAATTTTTTGAGTTTTTGTTAGTATTTACAATAACTATATATATAGTTATTATAAGTATATACTTACAAAAAAAAAAAAAAAGAATAGACATAATAATAGTACTTATTATTATTATTATTTGTTGTAAATATTGGAAAAATAATACTAAAAAATTTAATATTTAAATCATGTCCGCGATTTAAATCTCAGCTTCGCACCGAATCGGCTTATCAATCACCGAATCACGGGATCAGATCTTGACAACGTTTTAAAGAAATGTTTTTCGAGCTGAGTTTTTGGTATTTCTTTAGAAATCGCCATTTGACATTAGTGCAAAGGTTTTTGATGGGATTAAGATATGGTGACTGCGCAGGCCAATCCATAATTTAAATCTCCTTCTCCACGAACCATTTTCCACCAAATTTCTTAACCATCGGAATAGTATGTTTTGCCATCATTCTTTGCATAAGATAACATGGTGTTTTGTAAATTTTCCAGATAAATGTTCATAGTTATTATAATTACGCAAACATTGCTTCTAGCAGAACAGATAAAAATGATACAAAATAAATTATTTAATAAACAAAAACATGCAATCAGAATTTGAGTCTTTTTACTCATTCTCAAGCATTATTTGTCATTGAATCAAATATAATATTATTACATAATTTGTGTAAAATAAAAGTAAAAAATAAAAAAAAAAAAGAATGTCTACTAAATTTATATCTATCATCTTCTTGTATTTATGTTCAAAATTAATAAAAATATCTCATAAAATATTTTACCCGCTATTCAAAATAAATCAGAACAAATCTTACCAGATTCTCAAATAACAGTTACATGAAACCCAAAAGTTGTTTTGCGGCGTTTGGTACTGTTTGGTACGAAACCTGGGTGAATCATCAATAAAACTTTCAATTACAGTAAGTGTGTGTATGGTTTACACACACTTACTGTTAGTAAAAAACAAACTTTTTATTTTATACACTTAAATGACGTAAGTAAAAAAAGAGAAAAAATTAAACAGTAAGAAAGTGTCATAAAATATAAAAATATAATTTTATACAACTATCTTGAACTTTGAAACCCTATTTAAAAATTACTAATTTTAAAAATATATATATAAATAATGTACCGCTTTATTATTTCACACCAAAGTTGTGTTCTAGTTATATTTGTTTTTGATAGTTCAGTTTTATTTATTTTTTTCAAAACTGTTCAACTTACCCCTACTAGACAAGGTGACGTATTAGTTAGGTTTTTAAAAGGAAAGATTTAAGAAAAAACAGTTAAGTTTAATCAAAAGTCCGATAAATTGGTAAATTATTAATACTTAAGTGATGGCAGATAAAAAAGTTTATAAGCATACAAGAAAAAAATAGCAAAAAAATTTATTTTTACTTTTTTGGTCCAAAATAGAAAAAGTGCCCGTGTATCTCAACAGCTTTTCAGCAACCTTTTGTTGCGCATTGTGTTAACATTCTAATTCCTTAACTTTCATTAGATGTTTTTTCACGTGATGCATAGTTTTTAAGATATTTTAATTGCCTAACTTGCGCCTAAGCTCAACTACTCCCGCTCTCAACACATTACATTCGTAATGTGTTGTTTGTTACACTTGTAACGTGTTCTTTATTAGTATTTTAAGTGGGTAGTTTTGCTTTATGCTGTTGTTTTGATTTAATTTGTTACATAAACAGAAAGGTGCTTGGTGTCCTTTTTCCCCATAGGTATTACATGTTGAATTTCAGGCATTGGGCATTTAATGTTGTTGACTTCCACACTAAATAAAAGATTGTTTTGCAGCAGCAAAGATAAGACTTTGTTAAGGTTAGGAAAAATTTCTCATGTTTTCAAGTGCAAGTTTTTATAGCTACTGCTGTGAGTAAAGATTTTTTTAGAAGATCACTGGATATTTAAGAGATCGCTAAATGATTCTATTAGGTGTTGACAAACCATTGGAGATAAAATAATCATTTGTAAATGCATCACTGGTTATCATTTCTTATTATGTTTATTTGCGGTTAATGACTTATTTTCATACTAGATTTCATACAAGATTGGTCATTTATAATTGAGTCGACAAATTTTGATTCAAGTTATTTAGTAGATTTTTATCTAAATAGCTTAGTTGTTATTGATTTTTCGAACCAATCTGATGCATCAAAGTTTTTCCATTTTGATTCATTTTTAATCAGAATATCTCGATATTAGGTATAAAGCAAAGGCGATATTTACTACTTATTTTAACTTTATGTTTTGCTTACCAGTTAAACGGGTGATATAGGTTTGTTACGTTCTAAAATAACATTTTTTTGGCAAGCGATCTATTATATCTCTCCAGGATTTAATTTGAGTTGTAATATTTTTGCTGGATTTAAAAACAAAGTGTTTAATTTTATAAATAGGGACATAAATTACCTGTTTGTAAATCCGGCAAAAATACTACCAATTCGTATCAAGACATTTGTTCATTCAATTCAAAAATTGTAACAAAAAAAAACAACAATAAACAAACTCTAGGGTTAAATGTTTTTCCACGCAGAATTTTAAGTTAAATAAGAAATGAAAATAGCACACATTAAGTTGAACTGAAATCGTCGCGTAAAAGAGTTTAAGATCTTCCACATCTGTTTTTTAAATAAATTTAGCGTTGCCCAATCTCTTACGCATTTTTACTTTTTTAATTGGTTGTTTTGAAAACTATCGAGAATGCTTTTGATTGGATAAAAGAAAGATGTCTCACTTTAGAGGGATCCCATTGAAATAAGGCAAGAGTTAGTCTTAGCATGGAAGTATAAAACAGATCAAAGTTCATTGAGCCGCAAACATCAAAGCAATTTCAAGTCGTCTCGTGTAACCGACAATAAAAAAAACAAGTTTCACTGGACAAAAAAAAAACAAAATTCATTGAAATGATTTTTATTAAAACATAAAAAAATAAATTATTCTAGGGGTATGCGGCAAAGTTTTAACCATAAGTAATTGCAATTATTCAGCAAAAGGTTTATTAAAACTCGGTAATTAAATAGAACCACTTGATTTTAAAAGCATATGTTAGTTTAAACTTCTTTTCTTGCTTCAAGTCATAACACGACATTTGATTAAAAAGACAACGAAAACAATTTTTAAAAAATTAATAAAATTGTTTTCTAAATAACTTCTAAATAAAGTTTAATTAGCTATAACTGTATTTTTTCGCCCAAATGCTCGTTACCAACTATAACGAAATTTAACACAAGAAGAAAAAAGCCCATTGAATAGAAATTAAGTTCTACATTTAAAATTAATAATAATTGTAATATAAAACTAATATAATACATAACTACTTCATTTATTTTGACTGTTGTATTACAAAGTTGTAATGCACAATTTATACTTAAAAATGACCATTTTATAAAAAATTTGAACTATACGCTTGCCAATAAGATTAAAGTCGCCAGTTAAAATCATTCATTTTTGTAGTACATCTTTCATTTAATATGAAGTTCATTAAAAAGTTGTTGTTTGCCGTAACGATGCGCCATTTTTAATGTTTTTCTGGCAAACCTTCAATATACTATAATTTTAAATTATTATAAACGTATCTATTTGCGTCAACGTATAAAGATTAGGGATCGTCCATAAATTAGGTCACGCATTTTTTGACAGATTTTGACCTCCCCCCCCTCCTCCTCGTCACAAATTCGTAACACTTAAGAAGCAAGTTTTGTATGAGTCGTCACAAAACTACCAACCCCCTCTCCCCCTTATAGCGTGACGCAATTTATGGACGACCCCTTAAGCGTTTAAGTACAGTCTTGATGTTGTTTTCTTATTGTTTACGAAACCAAAGGTTGCAAGCATAGTCCCAAAGAATTTTAATGCGGTTGAACTTCCATCTGTTTTATACTTCTGTGGTCTCAGTTATCCGAGCCAGCCCTTTTCTCGTGTAAACATGATTAATTTTTGTAGATAAATGTAAACCATGCCGAGATCTCGTTTTAATGAGCCATTTGGCTAAACGGGCTAGCCCGCCTCATATAATCAGCCCCTAAGTATTGTTTATAAATCTTTTTAGACTTCCATCTTTTATTTTGATTGCTTAAGCAATCAAAATATAGCATCAGCGTTTTTTTAAGGGAAATCTTTAAATTATTATAATTAAGCGGTAATTAATTGAAAATTATGTTACTACAATGACTGCTCCTTTTAAAATGACTTTTTTATACTTTGTTCTGACTCCAGCTATATATTAATTCTTTAAAAAAATTTTAGAATGTTTTAATTAAAAGTTTGCTTAAAAATGTTTCCCCATTCTTTTACATTCAACCATTTTATTGAGGATTTCAAAGAACTTTCAATATCTTATGGGATTTTATTACTCAAAACCGTAAAATATATTTTCTTTTTAAAATTCTAAAAAGACCGTTTTACCGTTGGGTTCTTAATTTGAGATCATATTATACAAATTTATTTTGGTGTTTACATTTCGAAACAAACAATTTTTGTAATGTTGCCAATGATAGAAAAGCAATTTTATTGCTCTCTATCCCATTCTGCCTAGCTTTTGTATTGTTATTTTATTGTTTTTGCAATTTTTTAAACTGTAAATTAATGCGGATGTTGCCAAGGTTTGATAAAACTGAGTTATGGAGCTTGGTTGGGTAAATCAAACTCCAGGTTGAATAAAAGTTTTTTAGTTTTTGCAAAAAAAAATAAGAAGAAGAATAATGAAGATCTAAAAGTAAAAAAACACATTTTTTACATAAATTAAATCAAGGAGGTGTAATAAAATGGAGAAAAAACAAAGCCGAAAATTGTTTCAGCGGCAAGTTAAAAGGGCGTCTTTGCATTGAAAAAGGAAAACTTTGAAATGTAGTTTGTAACCTTTGTAAGCTGTAATCAAAATGAAATACTCTTTTAAAAGTTGACTGGATAATTTTTTAATAACTGTTTCAACTACCAAGTAGTAATCACGACAAAAACGATGATCTATGTAAAGTAATCGTTTTTTGAATACTTCAATCCTAAGTAAAAATATCAAAGTTTTTGACCATCTCTTTTACTTCGGTGAATCTTTCTTTTGCTTCCCCGTTTAGCTATAGGCTCGCTACATGACGTAAACATTTACTTATTTTTATATTTAAAAATAAAATTAAAACTTTGAAATTTTTTTCAAAATTCAAACGTGGTTCTAAAGGCGAGTTTCCACTCATACGTTTTTCTATGGAAACAGGAAAGGCAAGGAAATAATAATCACGTGAGAATGTGTAGTTGTCCTTCAGACAAAATAAAATTTATGCTACGCATGCTCACGTGTTTATTTTTCTCGTAGAAAAACGGACAAGTGGAAACTCACTTTAAAACGGTAACTATTAATAAATAATTTGTTTGCGAAACATGTAGTAATACTTGAGCTGTTTAAAGTATGTTAAAGTTAATTTATTATAGAACTATTTTATTTTCATATCTTGAAAAAGTAGACAAATGTAATGAATTAATTATATATATTTTTGTGCCGATATGCATTGTGGATCATTTCGTTTATTTATTTATAGAATAAAGGTTTAGAAGTTAACTAGATCATAATCACAAAGGTGATTTTTTTTTCCATTTAGATTTTTTGATGTTTGAGATACCAAACTTACTTTTATTTTATAAAATAAAAGTTGACGGTAGACGAAATGATTTTTGATGGAATTAGGCACGAAAACATAAAATTAAATTTAAATTAGTGAACTTTCAAACATACAGCACAGTCCAAATATTTATATTTTTATACTTATGCAAAATAAAAATGCTTTGCATATAAATAGGATGATTGGACCTTGGGAACAAAAACCCGTAAAATTGTTGCGACAGCTCTCCCAAACGTGAGAGCAACAAATTGACTAAATATTTTTTTTACTATTTTCAACAAAATTTAAATTTATTGAAAAGAATTTAAATTTCATACAATAACCTCTTAGCGTTCATAGACTTTTTAAAACTTGCAATCATCTTAAATTGAGGGGGTTGCAAATTGTATGTATATAGGGTAGATTAGGGTAATATGAGCACTTTAAAGGGGCACAACCCCATTAAAAGTGTAAATTGATAACTTACCTCAAATTTATCAAAAAAACTGTTAGTGATATTTATTTTTTTCAAATAGATATTAAAATTGGTCAAAATTTCATTTATTTAGATTACTGTTATTTGAACTCCCCTAGCAACGCACATAGCAACCGTTTTTAAGTACTTTTTTTAGCACTATTTTAAAGTTAATTTTAGATTTTTGTTTTTGCAAACAGCTTTTTGTTTGTACAACACACATAATGCTAAGAAATCATGTGGTTTTTCTGTTTGGCTTACTGATTTTGTGTACTGATTTACATTTTTGCCTAAAACTGGTTTGAATACATGTTTAATTTTTAGTTTTATAACAATTTGTTTTATTTTATAAGATAATCTTGTGGCTGTTTAGCTATATTTATCTATATAGTATATCTAACAAGTTTGAAAATATATATACAAACTGAAGTGGAAAATCATCTAGCAAACTTTGTTCTAAATGACGAAAAGTATGATATCTCATAGTAGCTAACACTCTATTATTCGACTTATATTTAAAGATAACAGCGTTTCTGATTAGAAGTTAAATGGTTCAAAGGTTGAATTTATTATTGACTGTTTTATAAAAAACTTTTCAGGGAACCGCATAGTTAAGATGACATTGTCAGCTGAGATTTTTAACATTTGTTTATGTCGACTGAGTGCACATGTGCACATTCAATAAAGCTAAAACAAAATTAGAAGTTAGGATTTGTTTTTGAATTTAAGTTGTTGTATGCAATTTGTGATTTAAATGGCTCTGAACTTTGAAGAAAGATTAAAAACAAAAAGTCTTGACATTAGTAGTTAAATGGTATGCGTATGACAGAGTATGTAATATGCGTACAACAGGCAGTGCCGGATCAAGGGGGCTAGGAGGGGTTATAGCCGCGGACTCCGCAAATTTAGGAGCCCCCAAAAATTTTATTGGACTTTTTTTTTTAGTCATTTTTAGGCTGTGGCCCATAAAAAGGCCTCCAAAAACAAAAATAGCCCCGGGCCCCAAGAAGTCCTAATCCACCACTGACAACAGGGATGGGTTATCAATTTATGAAACTAGTTTTTTATGAATAAAGTTGCATCTAATGTTTAGTCATAGTCTATAGTGAAATATTTAATAGATAAAAAGGTTCAAGGCATATATAATCATTATTATAAATAAAATTTCTATAAATCTTTTTTTAAAATGTTCTTTTATGAGATGTCAATATTGTACTAACTTTGCTTTACTGTGGCAAGAATATTTCAGAAACGGATTGACCGAAACTTGTCATATTTGGACAGTTTGTTGACTATGTATCAAGTTGTGCAATTAACCTCAAAATTATATGAATGTATGTGTTAAAAATAAAATATAACGATTTTTCGGTCATTATGATGGGTTAAAAATAGCGTTTTTTTTTTTTGCATCCTTTAAAAAAATAAAGCACAACCCTAAGTAAGTTATTAGTTTTTGAGGTTCATTGCATACCTCTAACATCAAGCTAGGTATACGCAAAATTTTATTCTATGTGATCTTCTGCATTTTGAAATATTTTTGCCACAAAAATGGACAATTTTGAAGTTTTTACCCCTTGAAAATTGGCCCTCAGGGCAACCCTTTATTTTTTTTTTTAATTTTTTAATTTTTATCTTATTTTTTTTTTAGAATTTACTTAATATATAGAAAAAATAATTTTTTTGTTTATGGGGTTGTGTCCCCTTAAGTGAAAATTGGAATATTTTCAAAAATAATTATGCTGGATCCAAAATTTTTGCGAATAAACAGTTTTTAAGGATCCCTCCTCATGATCCACTTAAATATTTGGACACCCAAAATTTTTTTCTTAAAAACACAGAGATTTTAAAAAAGTAGCAAAAGTGCTCATATTATCCAGACCACTTAGTTATGTGAGCATTTTTAATTAGCTCAAAAAAATAACATTAAGTAAAAAAATACCAACCTGACAACTAGAACTAATTTTGGAATATTATGATTCGTTATTAACAAAATTTATCATTAAAAGATCAAATCGTAAACCACTTTTTGTTGAAATAATACCTCAATGTTTTGCGCAAACCGTTGAACGATAAAAATTCAAATTTTTCTAATTTAAATTACAGAAAAATATTTACTTTTGATAAAATATTAATACTTTATCAATACTAAATAATATAATGTTTTGTTTTTATTCAAAAAGCAATTAAAACCACTGCTATTTTAGGACTTTAAACTAGGCAATTTCAATGAAAAATACTGGGTAATTTGAGCATGCTCATATTACACAAAAATGGCATCTTTAAATAAAGTCAAAATTAAATGTTTTTATGTATTTTCAAACAAAAATAGATTTGATATTTTACTAACATATTTTTCTTTATGAAAAAATTAATTTCATTATTTTAGCACTAAAATTTCGCGCCGCAGATTAATTCTTGCGTAATGATATTATTTTCACAACGCAAAAAATATAAAAGCATTTTAATTAGATAATAGCCGCTAATTACTGCTTATAAATTTACGCTAATTGTACAAATTCATGTTACCACCACATAAAGTAGGTTCAAAAAATACAAACTAACTTTAACTTCACTGCTTACTTCGAAGGAATCTTTAAGTATGCTTATATATATGTATATATATATATATATATATATATATATATATATATATATATATATATATATATATATATATATATATATATATATATATATATATATATATATATATATATATATATATATATATATATATGTATGTATATATATATGTGTATATATATATATATATATATATATATATATATATATATATATATATATATATATATATATATATATATATATATATATATATATATATATATATATATATATATGTATATATATGTATATATATATATATATATATATATATATATATATATATATATATATATATATATATATATATATGCATGAATGTATGCATGTATGTGATTGAAGTATGTGTATACGTTAATATTACACGGACAAGTACTCATAAATACAAGTTGATCACGCTTTATCAAAATCATAAACATGCTATAGGAACAGTTTATAACAAGTATGAATGCTCACATGATGAGCCACTTTTAAAACTTTTAAAAGCATTAGTTGTCAATCAAACTTGATGTTTATGCTGAAATTTAAACTTGGATTCTTTTCATTTTTTTTCAATTTTCTCCGAAATTACAAAAAAATAAATTTGGCATTTTTTTGTGCTTTATTTATTTTTATATTTATGCCATCTAAACTAAAAATAAAATGAAGACATGAAGTTGTTTGTAAGTATGGAGTCATTGTAAAGAAAGTGTGCAGCGAAATATCACAAGTAACATAAAACGGTGGCTTTGACATAACCATTGGTCTTTTGCAAGGTTCCCGCGTATTTTTATTAACGATGGTTTTTTACTGTTTTTTTTTTTTTTTGTTTTGTTGTTATTCTTTAATGCAGCATTTGTGGACTTTTATTATATTCTTAAAAACTTTTTAAACGAACTTGTTATGGTTAAAGATGCCAAAAAATGTTTTAAAAACATTTGTTTTCAAGATTGTTTACAAGTACTTCAAATCAAAAACTTTTTAAACGCTTTTTGACAGATTAGCGTAAATACCTTTGCGTTTGCTAATTACTTGAATTTATTTTTATTCTGTCTAATACTTCATTTGTTACTTCAAAAAAATAAAAGGAGTCCGCAAAAAGTTGCTTTTAACTCGTAAGTAAATTTTTGTGTTATTTTATTCCGTTTAACGCCAATAAATAATTTTTAAAATTGGAATTTGTTTATTTATTTCTATATCACTATATAGTGGTGTAGAAATTGTTTCATTATTTAAAAAAAAACAGCTTTTAATTATTAGTAACAAATATTTGTTTATGAATTTTTATTATTAAAATGTTTTACCAATTGTTTCTGAAAACACGTATCCATTTTTTATGGTAGAAAAAATTATTTACTAGAGTATAGTATATAAATGTTTTAGTAAACTTACATCTAGTAAATATAATATGTTAAATATATTACAAATTATAATATATATTACATTTAGTATACAACACATGGTTGCGTTTAAAAATTAGATTTAAATCGCTTTTAGTTTTTCCAACCCTTTACCAATTTTATATGCAGACTTACAGTGTTTTCAAAATCAAAAGTTGAACCGCTGCAGCAGTTTCACTCTTGAATAAACATCCTTCTACCCACCCTTCTTAACTGATATACTTTAAATATATCTTCCTAAACATAGTAATGTAGACTTTTGCATTTACAACTTATTTTTGATTCTAATCATGTTTTTTTATATAAAGTGTCAGCAGTGCCAGTATTAATTGATTTAGTAAGTGTTATTTAAGAGTTATTTTTTTACGGTTAGCCAAATGATATATGTGTGTGTGTGTATATATATATATATATATATATATATATATATATATATATATATATATATATATATATATATATATATATATATATATATATATATATATACACACGACAGGGGTGCGATAGGGATGTGTAAGGGGCGCGATAGGGGTGTGACCCCACACACCCCTATCCCCCCATCAATGATTTTTAGTCGGTAAATTAGACCCTTAGTCGGCAAATTGGACCCTTTTAGACTAGTTATGCGGCAAATGTCGACCCCTTTCGATATAGGTTAGTCGGTAATCTAGACAGTCGGCAAATGTTGTAATGGCAGTAGGTAAATTTTGGAAAACGAGGACCTTTTTTTTTTTTTAGTAGGCAAAATGTAATGGCCCCCCCCCCCCCCATGTGACACCTATTCGCGCTGGCCCTGTATATATATATATATATATATATATATATATATATATATATATATATATATATATATATATATATATATAATATATATATATATATATATATATATATATATATATATATATATTAATTTCCGTACCATGATTTTTTTTAATTTTCAAGATGAGCTCTCCATGAGTTGTTTTTCTTTTAGGTCTGCTTGTCTCATTTACTTCATTTTTATTTCAAAGTTTTTACATGCTATAACTATTTTGATAGAACTTTTCTTAATTTAACTTAGTCGCACATTTGGTCGTTTTGGCACATTTTTTGACGTAAACGGAATTCACAACTAAAAAAACATTACCTAAAAATTAATTAATAAATTTCTTCATAGGTGCTACGTCATTGTGCAGCAATTTAATAATAATGATATTTGTTTTATGAAATTGAGTTATTTAAAAGATAACAGATAAAATCTAGTGCATTTTTTTTTCCTTATGATATAATATATATATATATATATATATATATATATATATATATATATATATATATATATATATATATATATATATATATATATATATATATATATATATATATATATATATATATATATATATATATATATATATATATATATATATATATATATATATATATATATATATATATATATATATATATATATATATATATATATATATATATATATATATATATATATATATATATATATATATATATATATATATATATATATATATATATATATATATATATAGTGAATATTTACGAAAAATGGTTTTAACTGAAAAAAAATAGTTGTAATAATTATTCTCAGATTTCAATTCTTTTTGAGATGATCTCGAGATAAGTAATCTCAAAAGTGGTTGAAATGTAAAATAGTTAAAACCATGGCAACCAATAATTAAAACCATGGCATTTAAAGCATTAAATGAAAATAGTTATGACCATTGTTGGATCATACTTAAAACAAAATAGTTTTTTTCTTAAATTCATTTTTGTTTTTTATAATGAAATTGTCAATAATACAAGTTTTATCCAGAAAGAGTTTTAACGCAACTTGTTCAAAAGACCTAGCCACAAAATAAAGGTTATAATTGTTATAAATTTTATTACTTTCATTTTTTTTGTTTTTTTTTTGGTTAAAAATTACGATAAGATAAATAAAGTAATTATAAATTCTGTCAGGAGCAAGAAAAACTCAAGTTGATTTATCCTCTTAACCAGCGAGCTCACTTGGTTTGTTTTTTGAATAAAAAAAAAAATTCACGATAAATACCAAATAAAATAAAAATACACATAAAACGTTACCAACGTTACCAATATAATAAAAACTTCAACCAATAATATTTCAATAAAGTAAATTAAGTAAAAAAATTAAAAACAAATAAAGGTAACTTTGTTACAACCAAGTGTCAAATAAACAAAAGCCGTATTACCCCAGTGGGCAAAGGACCAAAGACTCTTTGGAACGTTCAACAGTCGTTTAAAAAAAGTCCTTTTTAGGTTTTCGTGCCTATTGGGTACTTTTCAGTAGAAATAATGAGCTGTAAAAAAGCGCTAAAGACTAATTGTTTAATATAACCTTAATTTCAAGTAACATAAGTTATGCTAAATTTACATGGTTTGAACTTTTTAAAATATTTTTTATAAAGATAATCAAAAAATAATATATCAAAGTCAATAAATATCTTTTTAAACTGCAGTTTTTCATACAATGTATAAAAAAATATAAAGTCCACAATATTGAATTATATAAGATCTTATTTAAACATGAGTTCTGGTAACGACAATGCTATTCCTTAAAAATATAGCAGGGTGTTTATATAAAAGTTCTTTCAAATAAGTTTGAAATGTTGCTCAAAGAAACCTGCGCTTTATTAAAAAAAAAAAGTATGTAATAGTTTTTTATATTGTACTATATTATTTGATACTCTAGCGTAGGGTGACTTTGACATTACGGCCTTTACTTGCGTTATATTTTATTATTTTACTATATTTGACCATATTATAACGTTCATCATAGGGTATCAAACTACCCAATGGTGAACATATAATAAAATATAGTATGGAAATTTGGTAAAATATAATAAACCCCACATCGTAAATCGTAAATACAGTAATAATTTTGACCTTGTGGTTTGACTAATTTTTTATGAATACGAAATGATTTTTTTTCTTCTTAGTTTTTATGTTTTACATAGCTATAGAAATGTAACACTAGAATTAGAAGGTTTAAAAAGTAGAAAATATTCTTTATACAACAATATAATTAATATAATATTTTAAAGTAAGTTGAATTGGAACAAATATTGGATGATTAACGACAATATTATTAGATAATAATTATTCACTAATATGAGAGTTACTAAAATTTTTAGTTTAATCTTTCTACTTAATTGTATTAAAACGAGTTCACTCTGTTAAAGACGTCACTAAAAGCGAAAAATGTAAGTTGTTAAATAAAATTTACAACACGTACACAGTTGTATGCGTAACAATCGTATCTCGATGACCATGCAATTTATTTACATAACGA